CTACAACGGTTTCAGCAAGCTTCTCAATCGAGTAATGTTCATTTCCTATCATGTGTTGTTAAACTATAAACAAGTTGCTACAGCTGAGCCAAAGCGTCAAGATTGAGGTTGCTAGATGTTTATATCGCAGAGACTGTCATGATAACGTTTAGCGCGCGGTGTGAATCACGTAGAGCATTGAGTTTTCATGAGCGGGTGGTTTGAATTCACGCATCAAGAATCATTAAATATCTTCGTAAGGAGTTGATTTCGGTGATTTTCGTTGTGCGCATCGTGTTTTACGTAAAATTTTGCTTAAGAAACATGTATCAGAATGCTGAAATTCGTACCTTATCTAGTGGTCCATTGTGCAGATTTTTCTTTTACATAAAGGGACGTTTCACTTTAAAAGATTCCGTCTTGGTCCGCAGGAGTTTTTGTCAGCCCTTCCTTCAGAGCTCAGGGGCTGAATCTCTGCCTGAGGCGAGGGCGAGGACTGACAGAAAATCCTTCTCCGGGTGCGGAGTGCCTAGAGTCTGCAGAAAGGGAACATCGATGCTCCCGACTGCGCACCAGACAGTTTGCGATGGAAATTCGGCAGGATTTTTTGTAAGTCCTGCCTTCGGATGTGTAATATAATGACGTCAAAAAATTTGCGAACGGGGGCGCGAACCGCCGACCTCCCACCTCGGAGGCGAGCGTTTAATCACTGAGCTACAACTGAAGTTGAAAGGTTGCGACATAATTGGTAATACATAAGTGCAATTGAAGTTCTCTCTTTCTCCACCAGAGCTGAGAGCATACACGCATCGGTGTCACGCTCCCGCTTACTGATGATCTGCGGCAGGATTTTCTGTAAGTCTGGCCTTCCGGGCCAAGAGTGAATCTCTGCTAAACTCAAACGCCATTTCTAACACACTCGGTTTGAGGTATGGAAAAGATATAAGTTTGCTGGCAGTTTCATCACAACAAAGCTAGAGGAAACAAACCCCTTGAAATTCAAGAGCTGGTTACTAAAATTTACAATCCCTACCTCCTGTTGCCAGCGTATGTGCTTGGAGTACCGATCGTCATGGTGTGAAGAAGAATGAAAATCGATCACTTATATGCAGCAGGTTGTTGATGTGAGGATGCAAATCCACGTTTGAGGGCAGCAAATAGCCTTGACAATTTCTTCTAAGCTGCAATAGTGAAGGAATTGCGGGGGAACTGGATGCGTATTCGTCTAACTGACAATATGATCATCACCGCACCTGAAATCAAGTACATACTCCAGTCAGAATGTAGGATAAGACTGGATAATAAGTCCTTAAACTAAATTGTGCTAGATGAAAAATGGAAGATTTAAAACCAAAGGACCCTCCTTACTTTCTCAGGATTCGCAAATAAAATACATACACAATGCAGATTTGGGCAATGATTACTCCATAATCCTCTTGAAGGTAGTGTGTGACAAGAGATGATTACACGTTTCAGAACCGGTTTCCGATGATTTCATCCGAGGAAGAAAATTTCTGGATAAATAAAACTTAGCCCGCCGAAAACGTTGAGTAACACGTCGTTATTGAAATGTCAGACAGTTGATAAAGAAAAACTTTAGAAGGTGAGCTGTTTAGCGGTCAGAAAAGCTGAAAATTACACACACACACAAACACGACTACGGGCCAAGGTAGATTTACACAGGTATGGAAAAGTTGAAAATTTCCCATGAGCCTCAGTACGTGTCACATGACCTCGTGACGTAGGTTAAGGGGCCCGTTTTTTAATTAAATTACAATCAAATTAACATTCAAACGTTTGTGCGTTTAAACGCTAAAATTAATATCGTATAACCAAAATTGTGNTTCTTTTTTTGATCGGTGGTACCGCCGATCACCAAACTGTGTTCGTTAATTGATCCGTCGGTGCTGACGTCACGACCGGTGGAAGTACGACCGGTGGATTTGGTACCACCGATCAGTGATCGGAGTGATCGGTCATTTCTCCGATCACAGCTCCACCGGTGGACAACCTAACCTTACTTCAGCCAGATCTCAGGCCAAAAACAAGCAAACAAACGAGAAATCGTGAGTATTTCGCGCCTCCCGCCGTCGCTGAGTCTGATGATTCTGCTTGGATCGTCATTGTCGCCTATGTATTGAATTATGTAATATTTTTAGTGAAATTTTCCCCCGTACTTTATTTGTAGCAAAAAAGGAGTTAATGCTGGTACATTGAGTATATATTTGCACTATTGCAGTATCATTGCGGTAAAGGTTTGATGAGAGGAAGAAATCCATTTGTTTACATTGGTGGAAAGTGTGTTCTTAAACTCCCGACTGATCGCGGGCAATTTCGTACCAAAATGGCGGCCGATGGATTTCCATCGGTGGATTTAGGCAGATCTACCGATCAAAAAAAGAAAACCCCTTTGGTGTGGTGCCAAGGTAGATTGGTGTGGTGCCGGGTGCCGGGACGGACAGGAGGATGAGTGAGGCGATGTAGCCATCTTAAGTTTTAGACATGACGTAGAAATAAGAATCGGCCTATCAGGACTAAAGAATTGGCATTGCTGTGACGTAGATGTGCACATTTCTTCGCTTGCTGTCACTCGCGCCCAACATCAGTATTTTCGATACGATATTCGCAGAAAATATCGATATCGACAAAATATCGTCAGGAAAATATCGATACGATATTTCGACCGATATTTCGAAAAATATCGATATTCTGAAAATATCGATATAATATCCCCAACACTAAGACGAACGTCAAAGTTCGTTAACGAGTTGGAGGTCCGGTCATAATTTTTACCTTGTATTATTAATTTTTAAGTCAGAGCTCAATTCCTCGTGCAGCTATAATTAACTTCAGTTCGTTGTTACGTAGCTATTTAACTTTTGATCATTCGGTTGAGCTTGGTTCATTCGTTGGGTACCGAGGTTGGAGTGCCATGTAAAGCTCTCTTGGGATTGTTCTCTCCCTTGTTTTGGAAACAAAACTTTTTATAACAGTATATCACGTACCTGAATTTGCAGCCTGATAATGGCAGATTCAGATCCTGTCGAAAATGACGAAATTCCCAGTGCTATGGAAGTAGAAGAGCCCTCCGAGGCAGCTGAATCAGACAGCAGCAATAACTCTGCCGATTCCTCGGATGAGGATGATGGTGAAGATGAAAAGTTGGAGAGTCTCGTCACAGAACTTGAAAGCAGCGTGAGTTCTTTAATGGTTATCTTTCTCTTCAGACATGTTCTCGGGAAATGTTCCGGAGAGCTCACTGAGCGTACAGCTCATTTATTGTTCGATGTGATGGGAGTCAATCTCTGATTAGCCAGACATTAGAACTTTTTTCATCCTTAGATTAAGGGGGGTTCAGTAGAAAGAAATGTGATTAGGACCACTATAGATGACTATCATGGTCTACCATATTTTCATCAGCACTTAAGTAGTGGATACCTAGAAAACAGGGAATAGACTGCATTGGTGTTCAGTATCCCCCAAGACAAGTTATTTTTAAGGCTTTATTTTTATCCATGGAATACACGGAATGCGATGATAGCGGTTTGAGCTGGTTCAACCGGCCTGACCGCAGCCTCAACCTACCTCAGAATAGCAGTCCAAGAGTTCCACTGGAACACATGGAACACGCCAGTGGAACGGAATATACAAGTGATGCGTTCCGTAGCAATCCTCTATGGTTGGGATAAGGCAAAAGCCCTTTTTTGACTTGTTATATACTTAAATGATAGATACAAGAAGGATCTGTGACTGGGAGGAGGTGCCGACGCACAGTTGCGTTCTGAGGAATTTATATCCTAGCTTTTGATTAAGCTCTCAGAAAGTAAGTAGGGATTATTTTTTTGACAAGGTAAAGGGGGCGGTTTACAAGGATGAGCACCTTACTGATTGACCAGAGACGGGGGTGCCAAATTTGCCGCTTGTATGCATGACAATTTGCATTTGTAACAACTCTTTTTATAAATTTATATCTTTCAATTGACCGTGTTTGCAGGTGGCCAGCAATGTGTTCAACTACAATGCTCATCTTGAGCTCATCAATGCATGTGGAAAACTAGGAGATTTGGATAAACTACGATCTGCAAGAGAACAGATGAGCAAATACTTCCCGTTAACACCAGGTAATTTACACTAAAACTTTTTTAGTCAACGCAGTTAGAAAGAAAAGTTACTCAATAGGAGAAGAGGAAACAAATTAGTGAAAAAAAATTTTGCGCCGGCCAACCAATTTTTTCTGCAATGAAATTCAAGGTTTTGCTACACCAGCAAAATTAATTAATATCTAGATGCTGATTATGAGTGAAGTCAAAACGTTGACCAAAGTCTTTAATTAGCCAAATATTCAGTCGCAATTTTTTTTCACCGAAAAAAAATCGATCATCTTCATCTCTGTGTAATGTTTTCATTTTTCATTCTCGTAGTTTAGAACTACCTGCAAAAATTTTAAGCCACCAAGTTGTCATGACATTTTTAATGTTATAGTTTAGTTACAACTATAGCAATATTTACTTCGAGTGTAACAGCAGCTTTGCTATTGACAGAAAGTACATCTGAAAGTAGCGATATTTTTATCAGTCTCTCCATAAATTTATTTCATAGATGTTAGACTTTCCCCTTCAAAAATATCAGAAATTTACTCGAAAGTATGTCACAAATGGCATTATTAGATTGTGTAGAAGTTATCAAAGGATGAAAATATTCAGCTTTAAGCTGGATTTTTGACGCTTGTTGACCAAAAAACTCCAACATCTCGTCTTACGACTCGTGCGTTTACCGCCATTGATTGGTGAAAATATTCATCCGAATCTCTTTTTAAGTAATGACCAGATTGTTCTGATATTAAAGGAGATTTGCAGGGCATAGCAGCACACCCTTTGCCAGAATAAAACATTTTCAATTTTGTTTCCCCTTGAATCTGAAAACACTGTGATTTTTTTAAGCATACCTACTTTAAAGAAAAAAATTGAGTCATTTTTCAAACTCGGCACTTGCGCGACTTCTGGGCTCCTTTTATAACATATGTACACAGTCAATCAAGCCCTCTCACAACATTTTTATGTTTCAGAATTATGGCTGGCATGGTTGAGAGATGAGATAAAACTGGCCTCAACAGATCAAGAATCAGAAAAATTGTTCAGCCTGTTTGAACGAGCAGTCGAAGATTACCTAAGTATGATTTTTAAAACTAATCCATTGTTGTTTTACTTAGAACGACTATCTAAAATCACACGGGTGATGTGTTAAATATTTGTAATTTCCAAAAATACATATTCCACCTGTAATTAATAAAAAGAGCATCTCCTTCTTATACAGCGGGTTCTTCTGTACAACTTTCATACTTCAGTTGCAAAGAAACATTTTATATCTGAACCCTCATCGAGTATAAATGGAGGACTTCAAAATTCAGAGGAGCTGTATTCATTAATTAAATCATATGATATTAAGAAACCAAATTTGGTGAGGTTGTTCCCTAAGAAAGAGTAAACTCAACCTCCATCCAATTTTTGTCTGTTGTTTTCTTTTTTTATTTAAATAAAAAAAAAAATAAGAAAAATCTCCAGGCACCAGGAAGTAAGATTTGAGTTAAAAAAAGCTTGAGTCAATTCAGTATGTACAGAACAGCAACCTTTTATAAAGGAACCATGTAGGTACAAAGCTTAATTTGAAGAAAAATCCAAAAACAAAAAAAAAACTGACACACCAGAGGGATCAATTCAATAAAAAACCATACACGACCATAACCGGGCACCTAATTCATCTAAAAAAATATCGCCTCTATGCTAATTAGGAACCTTTGAATTCAAGTGACCGAAAATTAAAATTAAATTTGTATTTTTTGCGGCTCATAGGTATTGAGTTGTGGGGCGAATATATTCATTTCAGTATCGGCAAGATGGGTAGCGAAAATGGAGAAGAAAAGGTTAGAGAAATAGCAGAGCGGGCCCTCACAGCTGGAGGTCTTCATGTTGCCAAAGGCGTTCTCTTGTGGGAAGCATATAGAGAATTCGAAAAAGTTATCCTAGCTCTTTTAGAACAAAAGGTGAGTACCACAAGATTCGAAATTTTATATTTATTCCTTTGTAAAGTAGTATTGAGCTAATATCATTAACTTTTGTGCATATAGTGTTCATTTTCTTGGAAAGTCAGTCTTCAATCAATGTAATTTTTCTGCCCAACTCCTTCAGTGATACCCACGATTTCTGAGTAGAATAGTGAAAGGGATAATTTGATAGGCAGAAAAGAAGAAGAAAAAATGAGGTTTCAATTTTACATAAGCTGAAACATTGTGGTGAGGTGTCTACTATTTTAAAAAGGTATGAATATACATAGAAAAATCATGGATTCTCAAAGGGCAGTTGAGAAGTATGTGAAATGCTGTAATTACTTTTTTTCTTTTTTTTCCATACAATTTTTACGATTTATTTTACAATTATTCTTTTTTCTAGGCTTTGCAGTCAACACAATTTGAAGATGCAGTTTTAGCCCAAAAGCGTAAAATTGGCTCTATCTTTCAACGTCAGCTTGCAGTGCCTCTAATGGACATGGAGACAACATACACAGAATTCAAAACTTGGCTGAACGAGGTTGGAGACACGAACATAGTTGATATTAAAGCAGTCGAACATGGATACAAGAAAGCTTTGCAAAAATTGAGCAGGATCTTAACCTTCGAGGAGGCTGTGGTGAGCTTCAACTTCTATCTTATTCTTGTCATTTTATTGTCCAACCCAGGTTTACATACTTTTCTTAATTCTGGCATTATTCTGTTTTTGATTGGATAAAAAATGTGTTTCAATGGAAATATGATTGATAGACCTTTAGACAGGGTATGAAATCAAGAAGGAACCGTAATGTAACATTTCCATAGCAAAATTTTACGTAGGATACAATGAATGCATTAAAAATTTCCAAATTCTACTCATGAGTGCTTAAATAATGTCTGCATACGGCAGTTGCGTTACTCACAGAGCTGTATTTTGATGATTTAAGCTTGTGATTTTGCAGAAATAATAAGATATGTTCATATGCCAAGTTTCTATGTCCAGTATCAATGAAGATTTGCTCATAGAAAAACATGGCACATGACGTCATCCTCTGCGGTCTATCTCGGTTTTATCAATCAAAGAGACACACATTGTACTGGTCTCTTGACTTGAAACACGGATGAAACCAGGGTAGAAAAATCCATGGTATTCACTACTTTGGTGAATGACAACATTAACAGCGTTTTTTTGATGAGCAATATTGCCGTTAATACTGAACATAGATACTTGGTGTTTAACCAAATCTCATTATTGTTTGCCGATCTGTAAGCTTAAACCATCAAAACTCGAATCCATGACCTGCGCAACTGATCCATTCACTCTCCCTGCTCACAAAAAAACCTGCGTCTACTCAAGTCAAATCCAGCTCAACTAATTTTGGTATTTATTGCGATTGAGGAATTTTCAAGTGTACTAACTTTTTTTTGGACAAGATTATAAGGTACTCTATATCAGAAGAGGAATGAAATGTTGGTGAAACAAAGTTCTAGTCATGTATCTAATTTATAGGCTCATTTCAATGCCTATTTTGTCCTACGTTGGAAATGGTTTTTTGTGAGTGGAAAGTATGAATTTACTGTTCATAAAGTAAACTTTGAATAGTTTTTCTCATTTATGAGTTGTGAGTTAACTTTTGAAGTTTTCGATTTTTTTAAGGTAATCTGTGCGAAATTTAATGGTATAACATTTGATGTATAGCTTAATATCTTACCTTGTCTAGGGTTCCGATGTCTTTTTTAACAAATTAATACCGAAATTTTGAACCATAGCAGCTCGATTTTAGAATTTCATGATCTATGCATCATTTTGTTAGCCACAATGGTCCTTAAGGTTACTAATTTGAGATATGATAATTTTTCCTTCAATTTTTAGCTCTGTGCAGAGCCTGTCTCTCGGCTTGGAGTTTATCAACAATATCTAGCCTATGAACAAAATCCCCGCGAAGGTGGTAACGATCCTGGGAGAGTCCAATGTCTTTACGAACGAGTTATCACCGATCATTGTCTTGAATCACAGTTGTGGCTAGATTATATCAATTATGCTGTTTCTACTATTAAACTGAAAGAAGTGGTAAGTATGAAGATTTTATTTCAGCTCAAAAAATTTGATTTTAGCTCAATATCAGGCCTAGGCCATAGGAACAAGAACGGCCGAAGATTTTCTAGAAAAATTAAAAAGGTGATTTCAAAAATTTTCTATTGGGTAAAGTTGTCCCAATTTCTAATTTCTCATCAATTCTTATTGTGTCTGCGAAATTTGAAGATAAGAAAAACCAGAGAACCAGTAGAAAACCATGTATGTCAGTGAACTTCATGGAAAAGCATAGAATGTTTTCCTCTTTTTTATTATTCCCTATCTTTGAAATTTCCATGTTCATCTGAACTAAGATGTTGGAAAGTTGTATCTTTCCGAGAGAAAATTTGGAACTTCATTGAAATTTTCTATGATTAATAAGATTTGCCCCCTCATTAATGCATGTTGGGAGTTAACGAAAAATTTGGAGAATTTTTGTCTTTCTACTCAAGGTAGCTACCTGAACTTTTTTTTTTTTTTTGTTTCCTCTCATCAATTAAAACAAAACTTCTGGAGTTGCCTCTAATCCAATCATTTTCAGCCTTGGATTTTTCATCAAATATGTTTTATTTATCCTTGTGATTTTTTCCCCAAAGGTTTTAAAGCTTCTACAGCGCGCGGTACGAAATTGTCCATGGTGTGCTGAGATATGGTTAATTTATATCAAACAGCAAGAACGATACAAAGAACCAATTGACTCAGTCACAGGTTTGCTTTTTATTTACATTTTATCACCCTAGAATATATCTTAGATAAAGAAAAAAAATTAAGGAAGAATGATGTAAATTCTAATTTTTTCGCTCTTCTTAACTCCAAAATTTTAGTTTTATAATCAGAATCATTCATGAAGGTTGTAGTTTAAAATATTGCCTCTGAGTACATCATACATCAATTTTGTTCACCGGTGCTCATTCAAAGCTAAATAAAATTTTAAGAAAGTAAGGAAATTAAGCTTCCCTTTTGCCTAATGGTCTCTGCACCCTGAAGTTTTTACTGTTGTTACAGCAAAACTTTCAGAAAATCGAAACTTTGGTAATAAAAATGAGAACTTTAAGAACTTTTAAACTATCAATAGAATTTGCTTGAATGCATGTTGGTAGATCGGTGAGTGAACACGCTGAGAAATTTTTCCCCTTGAGTCTTCAGACTGTCTAATTGTCTCAAAATATGCCAGTTTTTGACCTCCTTATGCCTGTCTCATATTTCAGTGACTCACTAAGCCACTCCTGTAGCATTATAGAGTATTTTTGCAGAGAGCTCCTCATGTTGTTCTGTCCAATTTTCTTAGTTTCATACTTAAAGAAATTTTGTGTATCATCCTTTGACAATTGGATTGCATTTAGCAGGAGGGAACCAACGCCATCACAGTGTCGTAAAAATTGTACATCCTCATTTTTATCCAAAAATTATCTAGAATAGCAAATAAAGTTTGTTTTCCTGCCCAAAAAAAAATGTCAATATCAACGGAAAAAGATCGCGTACACAAATTTTATTACTGTTTTTATATTTAGTATTCTTTGAAGAAAAGATGAAGTCGATTGATATTGAAAACAGTATGATGGTGTTGGCTCCTTTCTGCTGATCGTGATCCAATGGAGAATTGTCTTTATTTTTACGACAATGAGTGCTATGTGTTCTATCATCTAGGTGTGTTAGAGCAAGCATTAGTCGCTGGATTCTCGTCAAGCAACGATTATCGAGCGGTGTGGTTGGAGTACATTTTGTATCTGAGGCGGACATACGATGAGAAAAGTCCTGAGGAACAAAGTGCCTTCGAAGAGAAAATTAGAACAACCATTGAACGAGCGTACGAACATCTGGTTCAAAGTAAGTTTTAAAATTTATAGTTTCAAGTTAGTTGCATCGGCTGAAATCTTGCTCCTCTCACGCGTATTACCTGGATGTCCTTTGAGCCCATGAGTAAGATGAAATAGGTAGGCAAGCTGCAGCTTTTCGTCGCACCTGTGGATTCAAAGGGCAACCATGTAATGTGCGAGTGAGGAACAAGATTTCACCACACACTACTGTTCTCAAGTGAACGCAAACGATTCCCATCAGAGAAATTTACAAAGTTGATTTGGCGTATTTGGATGTGACCAACCTCTTTTTTCAAATAGAATTAAGCTGCCGAAAATGGAGAGATTATATTTGTAGATGATTTTTGAAAGCAGGCAACTGTCTATTTCCGCAATGGTCAAGAATGCGCTTTTAGACGAGCCATGAATCAAAACAACACGTCATCATAGTCTGTAATTTGTAATTTTGTATTGTAATGACAAGTTCAGATGTAATCTTTTAAGGAACTTATCGGTTAGTGTACCACTTACTGACCAAATAAATGACTTGTGATGTCATTTTGGATTCCATTTATCAGAAGGAAACCAGCTTGGTCATAGAACAGATTGTAAAAATCACACATCTTTATCTTCATCCGAAAAAATGCTTTAGCAAATTAATTTTGGTCTTCTACCATAAAATGTTCAATTTCAAAGGAAAAAGATCCTATAAGTATGTATTTATCCAGTAAGTATTATATCTATCTTTTGTATTCTTTAAAGCAAAGAAGAAGTTGCCTGATTTCGAAAATTCTGTAGTCTTATTTGTTTTTTTTTCTGCTAAATGCAATCTATTTATGCTGTATAATCTTCGTTGTCTATGCTTACTTACATGACTGTCAGAAATTGATTTCTGCTTTTCCGCAAGACGATACTAATTCAAAATTTTGAAGAGGAAGCACCGAAAATGTTTCCTCTCCTGCTCGATTTTCTATGAAGGAAACGGAAATACTAATAGGTACATGGTATTTTAGAGAATTTTGTTTTAAATAGATTAAGGAAAATTATGTGAAAATTGATTATTTACAAACAGTTGATCACTGAAATAACTTTCATGAAAACAAAATGTAACAGGAACTTAACACCAACAGAAACCAAGAGACAACTCTTTACCGTTTCTTTCCTGATGTTCTATACATAGGCTGAACATTATGGAAATTTCTTAAATTTCTGTAGAAGAAATGAGCAGTGGCAGTAATACCTGTGGCTAGTAAAGCAAAGTAAGTACTATTTCCTCTTTAATACGGTTTACCATTTATATTTTTTTTTTTTATGTCACAGTGTTCGGGACAGAAGGTGACCCAGATTGTGAGTTACTTTTGTTCTGGGCCAAATGGGAAGCTGTCAAGCCAAACAGAAGCATGGAAAAAGTGCGTCAAATCTACAATGATATTTTAACCATTTGCAAAACAAAATCTAGTCTATGGTCGCAATGTTTGACGATTGAAAGGTATTGTGTGTTGTAGCTATTTTCATTTTTCAAGATTAGAGCTCCTATTTTTGATTCCTGTAACGCTCATAAATCAGTTTCTGCATTTTTTTAAAGAGAGAACCCTTAGTTACTTCTTTTTTTTCACACATTAGACATCATGACAGGATTAGTAAGAAAATACATTTATTTTGGTGTTAATCCTTGTAATATTTTAAGTAGATCCTAAAAAGTTTTGAAGTACAATCCTAAGATCCTTGTAATTTTTCCATGCCATCAGTTGGCCTGAAAAGCTGATGACGATCAATAGTTTCTTAGAGGGTTTATTGGCTTTCTCCTAGATTTATGTTTTAGTTTGGAGCAACTGATCGATCAAAATTATTCAAGTTTGCAGGGAAAAAAAAATCGTATTTAAATAATGGCATTGAAAGTAATGTTGCTTCAATGTTGTAGACATTAACTGAAGAAAAAGTATGAGAAGGGGTAAAATTTTTCCAATATTGCTCATGATGTTGTTTATATGAAATATTACACCACCTCTAATTTCTGCAATTCCAGAACTTGTCTTGCTAATACTTAGAAGACTGAAATGTGCATGTGATCACATGAAAAATTCAATCAATAGCTTTTGGTTGACTGTGCCTGAGTGTCTGTAACGGACGATAATCTCCTCGAAGACATCCTCTCTCGGCAAAAGCCTCTATTTTAAGTGCGACTAGTGTTTAAATCGTTATTGAATCCTCTTAATTCTGTAAAATATAATTTTTCCTGTACTAATCATTTGTATTGTAAATGTTTTCTCCAGGTATTATGGTGATGAAAAACACTTGCGGAGGCTTTTTGCAAGAGCCTTGGCCACAGACACAGATTGGCCTGAAGGAATCGGTACATTGTGGCTAGACTACGAAAAACTCCACGGCAGCTTAGAACAGTACGAGCACTGTTTATCTAAAGTTAACGAAAGATTAAAACAAGAGAGACTGAAGCAAGAGAAACTATTAGCAGCCAACACGGAGAATAAACAAAAATCTGGAAATGATCGGTCCAAAAAAGGAAAAAAGGAGAAGGCGGAGAAAAATGTAAAAAAAGAAATGAATGAAGATAGTGAAGTGCAGTCAAGCTCATCGAAAGGAAAGTGGGAACATCTAGGAGCTAAGCGTCAGCATGAACCGGAATCTCAAAAAGATGGTGTATTTAAAGTGCCATCTACCGACGGTCCTCCTAGTGAAAAGAAACCAAAATTGGAAGACTTTGGCGCAGTGGAGCAGCACGATGCTCAGAAAAACAGTCGGATGGTCTTCATTAGTAATCTTGATTACTCAGTTACGGAAGAAGAAATAAAGAATTGTATCACAAAACTAGGCTTTCCTATTCAAGAATTACGACTTGTTAAAGATTTCCAGGGACGGTCCAAAGGCTACTGCTATGTTGTTCTTGAGTCTGAACTTGAAGCCCAGGGATTGTTAAAAAAAGATCGGGAAAAAATCAACAATCGCCCTATGTTCATATCGAGATGTGATCCAGATAAAGTCGGCCGCTCGAAAGCCTTCAAGTTCTCAACGGATCTAGAAAAGAACAAATTATTTATCAAAGGTATTGTATTTTATTTATTTTCTGTAGTCTAATGCAATTTTATTAAAGTGAAGGGTCCTTGGAAAACCGAGGATGGAGACTTTGCATGTGTCTGAAATTTGATGAATTCCGTGTTTAGGAAGAAGCTACCAAGTGAGCTGAACACGAGGATACCCTTGGTTCATAAATTGAACAATTATTGGAGGAGATATACATGACAAAATAACCTAATCTGCTAAAATACATGTGTTTAAATGGGAAATGCCACCAGATGACGTCACTAGGCGGTGCTTTTCTCATTTTTAAATCTATTTTTATACTGTTTCCCATTACAGAAAAAAATTATGAAAAATACTGCCAAATCAGCTCTTTAGGCACTTTCAGATGAAGCAATAAAAAAATTGCGTGCAAATTTTCCATTGTCAGGGAATTTCATTAGGTCAAGGAAAAGTCGGCGAATTTTATGAAGAAGACTGAAAATGATTACAAATCTTGAATTTTAAAATCTGAAAAGGGCATCAGTGTTGTTCACTAAATCAAACTAAGTCTCTGTTTGGTTCAGGGTTCAATGCTGTAAGTTTTTCTCAGTCTAGCAAATAGAAAAATAATTCTCAGTGAGGAATTGCAACTTTAGTTAATTGAATGATCAATTCCTAAAAAGAAATTCACATGTTTCTGTCATTTGCTGTGAAATTGCTAAAAATTTTTCACTTTCCGTTCTATGCAAGCAAATTGTCGTTGTCATACATTATGAAATTTTGATTGTTCTGGCCAAGAGAAATCTGGAAAAGTCAAGATATATCTTCCTGCCAATGTTAACACCCTGAAGTGTCATTATATTTTATGCTTATCATTTAAGTAGCCAACTACACATGACACCTAAAAGAGGACAAACAAATTCACTTATGCATTTTTTCCGATTTCAGCCCAATAACAAACGGAGATGGAGAGATCCGTTCATTTTTATTCATGTAGAGAATAAGTAAAAGTTGAATTTTTATTTCATGTTATCTACCCTGCTTTCATGCCCCTGCATTCATGAAAACTTTTTTCCCTCCTCTCCCCTTTTTGATTCAGTATTTGGTTCTTATCAACTGAAATTATAGTCACCCTTAGTTTAATATTCCTCCCTCTTTTGATTATATCTTCCAAGTATTTTTTTCTCAAATTCTCAGGCATACCTGTCAATATCAATGAAGAAGAGTTAACAAATATCTTCAAGGAATACGGGAACTTCAAAGAATTACGGTTGGCAACTTATCGCAATGGACATTCCAAAGGAATAGCATATGCTGAGTACCAAGATGAAGTAAGTATTTAATTCATGAATTGTTCTGTCATATTTTTCTCTGATTGCACAGATTTCTGTAAAGTTTTATTTAAAGGTTGTACGGAGCAAAAACTCGTAGTGTAAGGTGATGCAAAACGATTGCTACAAGATTGCTGTTGAGTAAAACATGCTGCCCCGTGGGATGTTTTCCAATTAAACAAATGCATTTTAACAGGCTTAATCTTTCTCTGATCGTACTTTAGTACCTTCAATATTTTTCTGATTTTAAAATTCAGGATTCCTGTATGTTCAGTTCATTCAGTAATTTTCATTCACAAACAAAATTAGTTTATTTTTAGATACCTAAACATTCTTCATTCTCTTATCATCTGTTTTTGTTCAACCGGAAGAAAATTTATTTTACTCTTTCCCCAGGAAAGTGCAAAGCTAGCTCTGATCAAAGCAGATCGCTCAAAGATTGGAGGACAAGAAATCAGCGTAGCATTTAGTAAACCTCCTGAAAGAAGAAACCAAACCAGTCTGATACCAAGCAGTGCTCCTCAACCCGTTCAGTCCCTAGGCGGAGGGCCCAGAAGTTACGGAAGGTATTACTCTTTTAATCTCTCTCTCTTTTTTTTTTGTCTCTGAAGTGCTTATTCATGCAAGCATATCTTCAAAATAAAGGGGGAAAAGGAGGGGGAAAAAATCTTCATTTCTTTCTCACAAGACTGCAATATCAGTCGGAGATGTCAGTGGAATTTTAAATACCTGAACTTCCAGATGTGATGCTGCCAAACTTAATGTGACAAAAAGGATTTCAGAAAGAATTGTCCATTCTGCACTTCAATAAATATCCTGTAATATTAAATCATTTTAAGAGGTTAATACTCCTCTCAAACAGAACCAGCCAGGAAGATACAACTTGAATATAAAGTCTATCTACGTCTTTAAATTTAAATTGCATATCATTTCTAAGAGCAGAAAAAAATATGATTTTACGATGAACTGGGGTACTAAAATAAGATTTCAATACTTATTAATTAAGTTTTCACTGTCCATAGAGAAACAATTCAAACTCCTTTGCTTGTCAATTCACATTATATTTTTGCATAGGAGAACAGAATGCATTAAAAAAATTCAGTAAAACCTCCATGTAGCAAATTTCATAGGACCGACAGGTGGATCTGTTTTATCGCAAAATCCATTAATTTGATTCAGCGGATTTTGAAAAAACCACAAAGAAATCCGGAAAAACCAAGGTTTCTCCTAAAAATTCACAAAAATGGCTATTTTTCTTAGCAAAAGTTTTCTGTTGTTTGTGATAGTTAACCCTAGGTGGCTCGTATGCAAGGGTATGCATTTTTTGCAAATCCATATCTTAGTGCGATACGAGAAGGCAAGTCTTGACAGAGAATGTCTATTTTAAGACTGAAACAAAAAGATTTTTTAAAAGTACAAGCGAGTTGCATTTTCCACCTATTATTGTTAAAAACTGTATTATTTATCTTATGAGTCCTCATGAGGGGGTCAGAAAAATCATCCATAAAATTGTAGCCCAATAAATCAAGGCTGCACTGTAGGGAGAAAATAGGTAATGGATTTTCCGTTTCACAATAAGTGTTACCTTAAATAATCTTCAATGGTTTGAATCTTTCAGCCGAGGGAAATCACGAACGCAAATCATGTTACCTCGGGCATTGCAGCTCACAGTTCCAGGATCTACTTCAACAACCGTGCCAAATGGGAACGGCACATCTGCTCCAGCAACCAATGGCGACAGTACTCCCAAACCCTCAGGAACAGCCCTTAGTAACAGCGATTTCCGAAATTTATTACTCGGCAAGAAATAATATCAATGAGAAGTTAGTATTTTCGTTTTGCTTTATTTTTAAATTCAGTTTCCCGGAAAATGAACAAAAAACGTTTTCATCTTTGAATTACGGTTTGAAATTCACTATTCCTGCTTGAGAGTTCATTCTAGAGAAAACGAAAGGCACTATCATGTTTCTCGCTAAATTTCACGTAAGAAAATCTATGTAAATTGCAATGGGTCATTAAACCATGTGTTTTTTATTTAAAATTCTGAAAGCACCAGATGAGTAAATTAAAGAGATATATCTTGCGTATTTTTAGAGCCAAAATCTTAGACAAGCTCACTTTTAAAAAGGCTCAAGACTCGAGGAAATTTCGAACGTGCCAGAACGGCGGGAAAATGGTGGAAGCGATGTACTACGGCAGTCAACTTCCCATTTCCTTTCATTTTTCTCTGACGTATGTTGAAATAAAACGAGTTTCAATGAGGAATTTTTGCTTGTTAACCCCTGATAACATAAGTGAAATTCCATTCTTTAATTCTGAAAAAATTGTTAAGGATCTCCCATCGTTTTCATGTATGAGGAGTAGAAAGCCATTTAACAGAAGCTGCAGAGCCCAGTGCTTGCTTCTGAGTGGTGCCAGGTGACATCATTCGGTTTTGCTTAAAACCAAGGAGTTTCAAATTTGCAAGAAAGTTGCGCTGCGTAATTCTCGGTCTCTGAGTTACTTTTTCGCGTTTTTAATTTGAGCATCACGTTCAATGTGTCATTTAACTTTAGGAAAATGTATTCGCAAGTCAAAATTCGTTCATGCCTCAGTGACCTATTCTGTGACACATGCATAAGCTCCATTCCTCCAAATGAAAATAGTATGTGGAACAGCGTCCATGCACACTTAGCAACAATCCTATATCTCCACTAGAAAATGCTAATAAGGAAGCCTAAATATTCACTTTTTAGCCTTACTTGTCTTGAAATTGGCTCATTGGAAGTCCAGTTAAAATGCTCAGTATGCTTAGGAGGTCGCAAAAAAATCTTATTAAATAATATTAAAATTTAGCTAGTGGCGAATTTTGAAAGTAGGGTCCTCTCATCTTGGTCAGTGAAAATTTCAAGGAATCGAGACATTTGTTCTCCAGTAAATGAATAAAATAAGAAATGAAATATTAAATTTTAAAAAATAATTTTATTTACATTTCAATCACCCTTTCTTTTACAAAGTAACTTTACAATCATATCTTTAAAGGTCAAATTTCAATTATTTTATATTGCACATTGGGCTGCTGATAGAGATCGAGGTGACCGAAGCATTTCAATCACTACCCTATTCAAGTACATTCATGCCCAGTGCAATTTTAAGCGGAATCAGCCCAACTATATCAGACGATGCCTAATTTTCTCTGATGTTTTATTTTCTAGACAGAAAACTAAGCAACACTGAAATTTGAAATCTCGTTAGTGTCTCCTGTTTAATCTAGGATAAATTCACAGGAAGGTTAAAGTCCTTTAGAAGTTTAGTTCTCTGTTAAAAAAATAAAATATGTAAGAAAATTAGACAATGTGTAACGCAGTAAGGTTGATTCTGGTCTAATCTGACCAGTTATGTCTAAATTTTGTATCACAATGATGTATCTAACTTCGTATTGCACAAAATCTTAAAAAAAAAAAAACCATAAAAAAAACTTGTCCCAATGTCATGCACTTTCTGTTGAGATCAGGAAATCGTACTGTCTCAAAATATTGCTTTTTTTCTTTTAATTTTTTTTCCTTTTTTAAAAAATCAACTTTTTCAAAGTAATCAAGAAATAAATATCTCTCCCTTTCTCACACTTGTAATGTTGAATTGATAAAGGAGTTGGTAAGAAGATCATCAGGATAGAGTAATTCCATCAAGCTCAAAAGAACATACTTTACTCCCAGCCAGATATATTTTTTGTCCTGCACTTTTATGTATGAAAATGATTGCCACCTCTTCATTTTGATATTCGGAGAAGAATGATCAAACTTTCCTTTCTACTTTCCTTTCTTTGATGTTCATAGGTTATAATTTCATAGGTTCCTAGAAGTTTTCACTATCCCAGATGAGGGTGGTTCTTAAAGTCATCTGCGAAATTCCTGAAATGAAGTTTTAAAATTTTTAAAATCACAAATTCGTTGATCACTAGTCGCTCTTACCATGACTAAAGATTATCCTTAAAATCTGGGTTCTCCTCGTAATTCTGTTAGTTTGTTAATTCATGTCAGATGAGATCATTGATGAAGTAGAAAAATCTGAGAGCCAACTCGCATCCAAAATCTGATTTCTTATCAGGCAAAGAATTTCAGTGTCAGTCCTGGCAAGGCCTTTTAGTGCAACCAGAAGTCGGAAGCTAGGTAAAAGCCTCCTGTACAGGGATTATTTTTCATAGGACAAACATACTTATTTGAAAATGAAAGTATCAATCGTCATTTTATCTTCACTTTTCTTGATGTAATGCACCCTCAACAGATTCTGCTGTATTTAATTTTTAAAAGTTTCTAAAATCAATACCAGTACCATTCCTCTGGAGATTTAAATTAACTGTACATTAATCCAGAGAAATACAGATTTGGTATCTTAATTGTTACGTGTATCGGACCCTTTTTAAATAGATCAAATTTTTTCATGTTATCCAATTGTTCATCAAATTTTTTCGTGTTGAGGACAAGAATGAGGGAAATCAAATAAAAAGGAGATGATACTTCGTAATCACTCTGTGCCCGAAAATACTTATCAAAGAAGGAAGGCTCATCGGTGTTCCAGTTTGTAGAAAGCTCAAAACATGAGCAAGGAATAGAAACCATAGTTGAACAATTTTTTCAAAGAACAACTTGTCGTAGCTCTCTTATAATGTTTCTTGCATGCATCAATTACCTATCAATGTTATATCAAATTCATGAATCATATTAAGAGGCATTCATTGGAAATATGTTTTAAAACTCCAAAATCAGGAGATTAATATGTTTCAAAAGTCATTGATTCAGGCATTTGCAAAAATAACTAAATTCATAGATGAAGACAAGTTGCTTTGAAAACCCTAGAAAAAAGAGCAGATCAGACTAAATTATCAGGAACTCCTTTGAAACCTATCGTTGCAGTTCGCTTCACTCTGGGAGGTGGAACAGGTTGCGCTTGGAAAGGTTTTTCATTGGCTGCAACCTTGTCTTTTGACAAGTATTTCCAACATGAAAATTTCTTTACATAATCAACACTGAGAGCTTTCTTCCTCTCATTCCACCATCGTTTGACTATTTCTCTTGCCTTGTGGAAGTAAAGATATGTCACTGCAACAATTGATAAAATTATAACTAAAATGAGGAGAACAACAAAAGCAACAAATAGGAAGCTAGTAGCCTCTGAAGCGAATTCTTCTTGTTCGCCATTGCTGTCAATTTCGTTGGTGTCGTCAGGTCCGACTTCATTGTCGATGAATGGTGTGTCATCAGAGGCACCAGTGCTGTCCACAACTGCGACGTCAGCGCAAGCGCGGAACTCTTCTTGGGGTCCACAGCCGACAGCTCCAGTTCCGTTTTCGCACTTGCCCCAGTTGTTGCCTGCTATATACCTCCATTGTAGGACACATTGTGAACATGTTAGGCCCTTTGGCAGCACATAGCGCATCTCATAGACTTTGTTTTCTGTCCCTGGGTAAAATCTGAAAACAGGCAATACAAAAGGTGATCTTCAAAAGAGGCTTTGTAATTCGAAGTCGAATGCAATTCTTTCCGGATCAAACTTTCTTTGTCAGATAAACATCTCGAGAGGGATGTAGATTTACATCATACTTCGTACAGGCGAATGAGGGATGGAGACAATGGCTGGCGTAGGGTTAGAGTTATAAGGAATGAAACACAGGTTTATTGGTTTATCTAAACAATCCAGGCTCCTAGAAGTCCATTAACCCTTAAACAATCAACTGAGCTGGTCACCTGACTCCACCACTCACTCAAAATTTCTTGTTAGGTAGACTGTAGAGGAAGACACAATATGACACCCAAAGGGCCGTTCATAAAATTCGTAATGTTCAAGGAGGGGGGGGGGGTGAGTAAAGTGTTAGCCCGTTTTGTTTTTACATCTTAAAGTATCATGTATATTACAGGTACAGACCTATCTCAAATCCGAATCTCCAAAGCAGTGATTGGCCCTCAATAATCTGTGATTAACTGTGAAGGTTTCATACTTGTTTTTCTATTTGATTTAAAATTTCGCAAATATTGTCGTTTAAAAGTGCAAATTAATTGCTATGTTCGCAGGATTGGAAATTTGTAAGCTTACCGAGTTGGGTGAAACATTTCGTCCGGTGCTCCACTGTCTTTGCCGCTCATCCTTGCTCGGTGAAGAACATACTTGTCAAGACAAGCTTGAGTCGCAACCTTTTTGATGTTGTTATTTGGGCATAGTCGGAACTCGAAGAATCCTCGATGATTCGCAGTAAGCTCCACCCGAATCAGCATTGTTGAGCCCGTCTTCAGTTTCCGTACTATAACTCCTTGACCGTACTTTCCGCCAGCCTCGTGAGCTCGTGGCTGGAAAAATGAAAATTTCATTGAAGAATTTTTTATGTAGTTTTAGGGGATCCAAAGATCTCGTTTTATTGATTGGTTCCTTTCATTGAATCTTAGAGTTTAGAAAGAATTGAATCTAAAAACTATTTTATAAATATTAAAGGTACTTAACTTGACTGTAAATTTGTAAGTGCAGCATCGCTTAGTGCTCTTTTTAAAAAAAATAATTTCGTTTGCTGCAAAAAGAGAATACACGAAATAGTAACAATCCTGAATCTATAATTTTTAGAAACCTCAAAGATGTCTTGTTCAAGCCAATTAATTTACATGTAGGTATGCACTTTGCTTCATTTTAGTTGGACTCAATGAAATTAGAGAATGTTCAATCGTTGTACTTTTTGCGTGTAAATTTCTTTGTATAATTGTACAAACTCTGTTTATAATTCTGTTTCTATTTCCTAATAATTTTGTAACATTAAGGGTACAATTAAATTTATTCAATTGAATTTTTCCCTCTTTTTTTGTGATTATGTGAGACAAAATATAATTTAAAGCACACATGGAAAACGAAACACACAATAGGTAGCTTAGAAATCAACTTCTAGACACAATGTAAATATTTACCTTTAACATTGGTTAAATGGCAAAAATATAAATGATATCATTTGAACAATTTAACTTCCATTTAATCTGTATCAAAAGTACTTGTTGATATCTCGCTCAAGAGTTAATTTCCGAACTTCTTGTGTGAGTCATCTTCTACTAAGGTTTTGAAGAGAAAACATGTTACTTTTTTCTCTAATTTAGACCATATCTAGCAACCCACTCATTGTAGGCATTACTGATTTTTCCAGAGCTTCTGATAACGTTAGAAAGGAACGGAGGAATGAGGAGTCATGGACATCCATCTCTCTTATTGTTCAGAGGGGTAATTTTGGGTCATCAGTGTCCTCTCAAATTTTTTATTTCTCCATTCCTGGAATGAGAGTTTGATGTCTTTTAACTATTTTTTAATTTTTTATAAATACCTGAGGAGAGTCCCAAGCATCCCCGCAAATGCCACATTTTCCTCCATTTCTCTGCCATTGCCTTGAGTATCCTCCACAGTATAGTTCATGGTCATTATAGTCAGGAGGAGAATCTTGAAACCCATACCTGAAAATGAATAAACAGAAATCAAATAGGAGAAATGAACAAATTTTCATCTCGTAGACGTACATGGTAGATTTTGTATGTTTTCTATAACAAATGATCAGCTAAAAGCAAAATTAAACAACTATATCAATTCATGACTGACAGTATGTATGAATAAATTCCAAAACCTCAACATTTGAAGGAACTTTTTATGAGAGAGTCTTACATTGTTTCCCTCTCTAAAATCACTAATGATTTTTAAAAAACCACACTTGAAAAATTCAGTGTTAAATAACTAAATTTGAATACTGAGATGACAGTTCGTATTTACACCGCCTCATCAGTTGCCTCTTCATTATAGAAGCCTACTCAAATGTTACAAATATTCCAACAATTTGCGTGCATTATCCGCTCAGGGCAGCTCAGTTTGAATTTTCCCTCGCATCACAAACTAATTCCGGTTCTTCAAAATTTTTTTTTAAAATTATTTCCTACTTCCACAAGTTTAAAATGAGTCTCATCTATGGTGCATATTACCTACTGCGAACAAATTGAAGAAATTTAGGCACTGCACGATTGCGTTGTTTCAGAATCTTTGTTGCTAATTAATCCCTTGGAGGAGAATTTAATGGGTGATTTTTCCAGAATTATTTCCTCAGAGAATTTTAGAATCATTAGGAATATTCAGTAAAATTTTTAGTGAAATGGATGCACTTTCCTTACAATGAATGAAATATTAGAGGAGGCTCTGAAACACTGCAACCGAGAAGTGCCCTTTACGCATCCAGTGCCTCAATTTCATTTTTTACATCGAAAATAATTACAAATTGAGCAGTGAAGAATTTAAAGTGAAAATTTTGACATTTGGCTGACATTCCATTTAGATTTTGTCAGTTGCTCTATCTTTATCATGAGAACATAGACTGATGCATAATAAAATCAGTTAGGACTGTTAGAATGTATCTTTCCTCCGTCCTGTCAGAGTTTACAAACTTAGTGTTGGCGCTAGAGGAGATGCAAGCTGATTCCGCAGGAGTTAGTTTATACTTCCCCAGTAGCAGTGGCTGTTGAGAAAAGTTGTAAAAAACTCGTAAATTTCAAGGAAACTTAAAATATACTTCAAAACCATTTGAAAATTACGGAAAAAAACTCTTGAAATATTCGTTTGAGGAAACATTTTTTGACGCTCTTTTATATAAAATCGAAGAAAAATTTCAAGTAAATTTTTTTATGTAAATAAGTAAAATATACGTATTTTTTTTTATAAACTTCCTGCAGGCAAAATTGAGGGAAAAAAGTGGTGAACAGAAAAGTATAAAAGGAAAAGTTGCAGCCCATAAAAATTGAGGATATAAGTAGTTTGTTGATTTTTACGTAAATTTTACGTTTTCTTTTAATTAAAATAACACCATTTTTTTTTGTTTAAAAGAATTCCCCAAAAGGGTTTCCTAAAACGAGTGTTTTAAGAGTTTTTTTAGGTACTTAAAATTCACAAGTTGTTTACATTTTTGCGACAACTTTTTGTAGAATTTTTTTTAAGAGCCATTGCTACTAGGGTTGTTATTACCAATACTGTGTTAAGGAAACGATTGTTACCTCCACATCGATGCTCTGGAGGGCGGTTCAATGAGTCGTCCATGAGATCTAGCACCTGGAATCTGAGTCCCTGTCACCACGAGGAAGCTCGCCACGTAGAGGGGCAGCATCCCGCTCTTTCTGTCAACAAAAAATTGAAAAATTAGTCAATTTTAGAAGGCAGGAAATAACCACCCTGAAGTTAACTCCTTATGTGAGTTAAACCTGCCGCTCAGTAGTTCGCTATGAGGAGGAAGTAGGTCTTTTAACAGCAATCGCCGAGCTTTTCCAACAGGGCCGGATTTAGGGGGTGGCTACATGGCGGCAAATTTTGCAATTTTTTTAAATGTAGGTATAAAAAAAAAATCGGATTCAGAAAAAAAATTACGGAGGAGAAAAAGGGAGAAAATCTCTCTTTCCTAAGAGTATAGTAATTTCTAATTTTGTCGTCTTTCGGTGGTGCAAGAGACAGAACCTTTAATTAGTCGAGTTAAGAGAGAAAACAAACACGCAATTTGGCCTGGAGCGGCGCGGCGCAGAGAGGAATGATGACTTGGACTTGAGATGAAAAGAGGCCCTCGGCGCGGCGACGGTCGGCATGTAACACATATAGCGCCTACAAGACTGCATGAATACTTCACGCGTTGCATCAAACACAGTGCAGTCAGGAGCGGTCGGCGCGAAACGCATAGCGCCTACGAGACTGCATGAATACTTCACACATTGCGTCAAACACAGTGCGGTCAGCAGCAGTCGGCGGGAAACGCATAGCGTCTACAAGACTGCATGAATACTTCACGCATTGCGTCAAACACAGTGCACTGGAAAAAAATCAGCGCGGCGCGGCGGCGGAAGTTAAAATTATTAAACCGTATCTTAATATCTAATTTGAAAAATAGAATGAAATTGTGAATCAACCACTGTACTAATTGCGAGGGGCGTTGGTTCATTTGAAAGGTGTTGTTCTCAATGCTTAGGGAAAACTATAAATTATTTTCTGGGGTTCGTCCCCGATTTTTAAATCCCTAAAAACTCATAAATTGGATGAGGAGAAGTGGGGGTTTTTTTGTTTTTTGTTTTTCGGAAAAGTTTTGTTGCTACGCATCTTATTACTTTACTGTTTGCTGTCTTTTTATCAGCTGTTTTCATTCAACAATCATCATTAAGTGAGGTTACTTCCAACACTCAACTGCCATCAACTTACATTTTTCTTTTCCCGCTTTTTTTTTTTTCGGTTTTTCATGATTGGTTCCATCTTTTTCCTATTGCCAATTTTTCCTCATTAAG